ATGGAATAATTTTTGTCTAAAAGATATGTTTGTAGGTTATTCTTCTCTTAGCAGTCACTTTCTGACAAGCATTTTCTATAATGTTTTTATGTATATAGCCCTTAAATTTTGATGTGGATATAATACTAGAAGAATGTAATATCTGTGATTTTTTTTTTCTTTTCTATTAATAACGTGTTGCTGCTGGTTCTTTAACTAGATGAGGGGACTACAGAATGATAGTTTTTGTCAGCCATGAAAAGAATTAACTCCAAACCAAATGTTATAGGTTGTTTTTCTATATCTTAAGCGCTATCAGCTAATGTGACAGGGCACAGGGTCTTTGATTAGTCTGTAAGCTACAGTGCACCAGGCTGGTTTTTCATAGGCAGTACTCATTTGTAAATCACAATTCTGTTCTTTGTTGCTTCACTTTTTGTTGGGCAGTGGTTAATTTGTAGAACCTCGTAACGTAACCACCAGTGTCGAGGAAGCAGACTCGACTACCGTCTCAAAAACAGATTGGGGGAATAGTTGTTTTTAAATCCTGAAACACATCAGACATCCAACTCAAGTCTAGAGTATCAGTAACACAGCATTGGGCAGAACTGAAAGTTTTGTTGAGGTATTTTCAAGATACGGTAGTAGTTCAAAAGAAGAACTTGTTCACGGCGCTGCTGCCAAGGAATTACATTAATAATTCGAGGTGTCATCAACAATTCAAACAAATCTTTGGCTGTTCAAAGAAGTGGGTAATTCCACTGACTTGTTTTCGGACTGTAGATAGAGAAGAGATTGTATGTTGAGACTAGCAAAAATGAGTATTTCATTCCTGTACCGTTATTTACTTTGCAATCTAGTTTAAGCAGGTTGAATATGAGGTTGTGGGATGTCCACACAGGGAACATTCTGTAAGCCTTTCAGGAACTTGAGCCTTGAGCTCTAGTGAGAACTTCAGCAAGACTAGACTCAGGCACATCCAGTTGCAGTAAGGACAGAGTTTTTGAAAGAGGAGCTGCCACGAATTACTAGTAATGAGAGGTGCCCTCTTTGATCCCACAGCTTCTTAGAGTGAAACAAAAGATAGTTTCCAGAAGATAATGAAGAGACTTCAAAATCAGTATTCTTTCTTCCTTCCGTCAGTGTTCCCTGGATGGGCCCTTAGTGCAAGGGGATGGTAATAATAGATAGTGCTTTTGTAAAATGCCACTTTCTTCTTTCCAGAAATAAAACTTGCTTCCCAAGAAATAATCTATTTATATTTCTGCTACTTCTAGCTTTTTGTTCTGTAGTCGTTCCCTTTATTTTTTTTTTCTTTATGTCTTATCCCCCTAGCTAGATTGTTAAGCATGTCCGGGACAAGAACTATTATATTTTTACTTTCTGAAGAATGCCTGGCCTACTGCTAGGCACCTTCTAAGATTAACTTTTTGCAAGAGGAAGGTAACCGGTAGATTTATCTGGAGGCCGCTATGAGAGTGAAGAGAGACCTCCTGTGTCCCCAGTTATGCCTAATTCATTTATTCCTTCTTCAAATTTGTAATTTTTTTTTTAACCAAGGGAGAATTTTTAGTGTTGAAGGCTTTTAGCCTCTAGATGTGTTTGTTTGAGCCTGCCAGGTTTCAGGGGCTTCCTGTCCAGATGGAGAGACAGATACCACAAATAAGGCAGACTACTTATAGTGTGGACAGGGTGCTTTGGGAATGGGAGCACTCAGAGCTTGCTGGGGATGGAGGGATTCTGGGAGGATGTCATGGAGGGAGAAATGTATTTAAGCTGTTTTGAAGGCTGGTAGCATTTGGTTTTTGTTTGCTTTTAAATTCCTGGGTTATTGTCCCATTTCTCTTCACCCCCGCACTGCAATTTTTAAAAGTCTGTCAACATAAGGTTTTTGGCTTAAGCTATGCTTCACAGAGAACATTAGCATATTTTATAGCTGATGTGCCACTCCTATGGCATACAGAAAAGCTTAGGATTCAAGATAGCCCACATCATTGGGCTGTTCAGGCTTAAAATGAACCTGTAATACCACAACAAGAGCAGTGGAATTGGAATCAAAGGATCCCTTTTGAATCTTGGCTTTCTCTCTGAGAAGTTGACAGAGTTCCTGTGTGTGGAAGGACTTGTAGCCCCCAGGAGGTACAGGAGTTGAACCTGGTATTGAAGGAGAGCTGTTCTTTTGGATGGCTAAATGGCACTGTTGAATAGCTATCTAAATGATACGGGGATTATATTAATAGCAGGCCATAAAATGTCAGCTCAGATTAGTTGAACGCCTGTATGTGCATATTTACATATTAAAGAACAGTTATGTTGATATGTTTGCATCTGTGTTAAATGAAAAATCAGATTTAGTGAGATGTAGGATTAGATATAGCGTTAAAAAATCCTCATGAGAATACAGTGAGCTCATGGGGAAAATGACCTTATACTCTGTTGTTTAGGATGCTCCTTAGGATTTCCTTCATTATTTTGTTATTCATATTGATACAAATTTTTGTTTAATTGCTTTTCAATTGAAAAATATAATTCTGGAAAGAGGAAATGTAGTGAAAGCCTTTTTATAAATATAGAATATTGACTTTTCAAAACTTGAGTTGTTTTTTCTTCCTCCATTTTTGTTGCTGCAAAAGGTAATGACTTTTCCTCCCTGAGGAAAGACATTTTTGAAATGGAGTTAAATTATTATTTGAGAATAGCGTTTTCTTCTAAGGCCTGTACTATATTCTGACGACTTAGAAAGAGGCCGTGTGCAGCAGTGCCCTCTCTATGCCCTTGGTGGGGCCCTTGACACTGCGCAATAAAAGACTAGCTAATACATTTTCTCTTTCCTCTGCACAAATTCCCATTTGTGTAATTGCCTACCCTCTAGTTTTTCCCAGTGATGTAAGCTACTATTATGCCCCTACGCTTGCTAACTTAATGGTATCACTTTTAAGAAATACTGCAGGTTTTAAAAAAAAAAAAAATCCCAATTAATAGGAGGGTTTATGATACAATTTTAGAATGCTTCATTCTAGGATATTCTCATTGACTTTTAAAAACATCGTCAATTTAGAGCTTTCTGCTTTCTGGTTGTTTTTTTTTTTTTCAGCCTCTCTATGGTTTGCCTCCTCCACACGCTGGAGGAAGGTATGTGATGTCTCTCGTGCGGTAGCAGGAACCTCCTGTTACTGCATGCCTTGGTACCCACCTGTTGGAAAGGCCAGGACCCGATGATATTGTTGTTGTTTCAGAGAAGCCAAATTAGTTTGAATCCTGTCTTAGGCAGGGTTTGCTAAGACCTGAGCCCTTTTCTGTCTCAGTTCAGCTTTTAGTGGCTTTGGACTAGCTGTTTACCTTTAGTCCTGTGCTCTGGTGATTCTACCGAAAACCTCTTGGAATGCAGAAATAAACAGTGCAGAAGAGTTTGAATGTCCACAATGAAAGCCTTCAGAATTTGTCCTCTAGATCAGTGATTCTTAGTTTTCTTAATAATTACGGTTAGCAACAAGTCAGTCAGTTTTATTGACAAGAATGAAAGAGTGAACCTCATGGAATTAGTTATAAAAATTACAGATATTTTATGATTTTTACTTTTCAATAAAGAGCAATGAACTTCTTCAGAAAGAAGGAAAATAAATGGCAAAATTGTTATTTTAAAAAAGGCTTCTCTCATCCTCCCCAGAGAATTGAGAACATTGTAGAAGGGTGCACTGAGAAGAATGACTGGGTTCTAAGAATTGAGAAATGTTAGCTGGCTGCAGTGGCTCATACCTGTAATCCACACACTTTGGGAGGCCAAGGCAGGTGGATCATTTGAGGTCAGGAGTTCGAGACCAGCCTGGCCAACATGGTGAAACACTGTCCCTACTAAAAATACAAAAAAATTAGCTAGGCCTGCTGGCGTGTGCCTGTAATCCCAGCTACTTCGGAGGCTGAGGCACGAGAATCACTTGAACCCAGCCTGGGCGACACAGTGAGACCCCATATCCAAAACAAAACAACACAAAACAAAACTAGAATTGAGAGACGTTGAAAAGCAGACACGTCTGGAATTCACGCTGAGTTGTCTAAGCAGTGTGGTAACCGGAATACAGAGCAAGGACTTTGAAGTCAGATGGACCCAGCTTCAGATACTGACTCTGATTTTATTAGCTCAGTGCCCTTGAACAAGCTGTTTACTCTCTTTCAACTTCAGCTTCATCACCTGTGAAATGGAGATAATAGGACCCACTTCACAGAGCTGGTGGGAGGATTCAGCACTAGAGTGTGTGACCCAGAGCTAGGCCCACAGCCGCCTCTGCAAATGGCGAGCTCCTATCCCCTCACTTCACCAGTCCTCCTAGCAAGAGACTTATTCTCTGCATCTTTGGCCAGCATTAATGCCACTAACTCAAACAGCTGGAATCTAAAGTGGTGCTCTCTGATACGTGATTTTAGTAAAAGACAAAAATGATACGTAATTTTATAAATCATTGCTAAGTTTAATAGACTCAGTGAAAAGACTTCTGTGTATATAGAAGACCTTTCATCTGAAATATTCCTATAATCATTATACCTACCCTCCCCCTTTTTTCCCTTTCATTTAAAATGACTCAGAAATATGGAGTGGGAAATAAATAATGCAGATGGTTTTCACTTATGTGAAAAATAGTCGCTAGGAATTGAAAAATGGGTTTTTACAGTTGAAATCACTGCTTTCAAGGAGATGATGGCTGCAGCTTACTGCAGGAGAGTAATAGTGATAATGATGGTAATAACAGTATTATGGTAGCTCGGTCACATCAATCCTGTGAGGTGTAGATTCTGTATTATCCTCATTTTGCAGATGAAGGAACCGAAGCACAAAGGTTAATACCATTCCCATTTGCATAGTTAGGAAGTAGCTGAGCCAAGATTTGAACTCAGACAGTCTGGCTCTAGAGCCTACACTCTTTACCACTATCTCATACTAGAAGGACAGAGAGAAGGCAGTCTTTTGAGAGGGAGTAATGTCCTAAAACCTGCATCAGGTTTGTTATTTTAGATTTTCTCTACAGGTATTCCGAGAGAAGCCTCACAAAGTGTATCGGAATTACTATTGAGACCAGACCAGATTATTGCATGAAGCGGCATTTAAGTGACATGTTGACCTATGGCTGCACAAGGCTGGAGATCGGGGTGCAGAGCGTTTATGAAGATGTGGCCAGAGACACCAACAGGTAAGATGGTGGCGGGTGATCTTGCACAGGTCTTCCTCCATCTCCACCAACGTTCTCCACATTCATACCCATCCTTTCTTCCTTCTGACCAGTCTTAGGGAAAGAGGTATGGGAATTCCTCCTTTTCAGAGTTCTTTCTTCTGTCTGTGCTCTTAATTCCATCCCCACTTTCCCTCATTTTCAGTCTTTCCCTATTGACTCTTTTCCAGCAGGCCATAAACATGTTCATCTTTCTTCCTCTTGTCCTAAGCAGCCTTGTCTGTATAGAAAGCAGGAGAGAGGACTTGAGGTCAGTAGTTTAAAGCAGGAGAGAAGGCCAAGGAGAAAAGAACGAAGAAAAGAGTTTGAATGAAAAGGACGTCAGGGTGAGGTTTAAGAGATTCATTTTGTGGAGCAGATACCAGCTGGCAAAAGTTTGGTGATGCCATGGTTGTAAACATTGAGAAATTTGGGAGTGCAGGGAAAGAAGGAAATAAGAGTTGGTAGAACTATAAGAAGTTATGTTCCCTCTAGAAATACATCTTTTAGTTGAAAAGAAAATACCTGTGGAAGGTTAACTGTATAAAGAACTTCACAGTTAATTGCTAAATGAGTGAAGTCGGGGAGACAATTGAGAGTTTATTAGGCAGCTGAGATGATTAACTGAGAATGATAACGGCGGGCTGTGGAGGAGGGATGTGTTGAGTTGGATGTTAAAGGCCCCTTTATTCTGTAGGATTTAGGTACCCATGTTGGTGTTGTGCCAGGAGAGGGAAGCAAAGGGAACTAGGGAGAGAGGCACTGATCAGCATCTTAGAAACAACCAAGAGGAATGCCAGGCTGAGGAGGATGGAATTTTCCCTTAAGGAGTAGAGATCCATTGAATATTTTTTTAGCAGGGGAAGACTCTAATGGATATTATGCTTAATTAAGAAAGAGTAACCGAATAGGATGCTCTTGTGTGGGAAAAGGCTTCAACAAGGGAAACTGTGGAGTGCTGCAGCCTTCGGGGGCTGTGCTAGAGAGACACCTGTGCAGATGGAGGGGAAGGGAAAGCTTTCTGAAGAATGTGACGTCTGAGTTGAGACTTCACGGAAGAGTCTGAGTTGGTCAGGTACAGTAGAGGAAGATTGTTTCCAGCAAAAAGAAAATATGAACAAACTCCTGGAGAGGGGAGCGCATGGCACATTTGGGGAATTGGGAGTGGCTCGGTTTGGTTAGAATGTGAGGTAGGAGAGTGATAAGTGGTGACGCTGGAAAGCATTCAGAGGGGCTTATTATTAGGGGCCTGACTCTTCAGCGAAGGGAGGCTGGGCATTAATCCAGGGGAGCAAGCCACCAGCAGGCTTACGGCTACAATGTGCTGGAGCATATCTGCAGATTAAAAAGATCGCGTAGTTACAGTGTAAGAGGCAGGTCAGAGAAGAGCAAGCTGGATGGGAGACTGGGTATGAGGCTGTTACAGAAATTAAGCAGGAAGTACTGATGTCCTGGAAAGAAGTGAATGGTGGTGCTTGGTAACTGATTGGAAATGAGGATGGGTGAGAAGCGGAAGTCAAGGAGGCTTGGAGAGAACATAGGTTTCATTTTGGCTACACAAAGTTTAAGAGACCTGTAGAATAGCCAGTTGAAGATTTGCTTTAGAGCAGGGCTAGGCAATAGATGATTCAGCAGTGATCAAAATGTTCTGTGCCTGCACTGAATTTTCCATTTTAATTCTTCTAAATATAAATTTTAATAATCACATGTGTCTAGTGGCTATAATTTTAAACAGTGCTGCTTTAAAGTATTGGTTATTTGGGTTTGGAATTCAGGAGAGAGGACTGACCTCCTCCTAGGAACTGGGAAGTCATTAGCAAAAAGAGATTAGAAATTGAAGCCATGGAAATGGATGGGAGCATTCAGAGAGAGTGAGCTGGAGTCCGTGTTTGTAGGATCCTTCTGCGGAGAATGGGAACATCTTGGTGGCGGGATTGCCACAAGGCTTCAGTCTAGTTGCCCGAAACTATTATTGTGACTTGTTTCTTGCTTGATGTGGCTCTAGATGCCAAGTTAACATGCTTTATCTGTGGCCCCAAATGACTGTGTCTTGTCACTAAGTTATTCATTCACTCTTTCTACAGTTTTTTTAAGGACCCTCCACACCCACCAGTGAAATCTATTTTGTGTCATAGGTTTCACTCTTCCTCTCTGTCTACAAATAATTTCACAAGATATTTAAAGAAAAGAACTTAGCAGCTTGCTGTTTCTGCGCGGTTTTGAGCTCATTCTTGTTTTTAATGTATTTTAATATTTACATTCATAAGCTTATTAAAGATATTATATTAATATTTAATATATTTTAATATTTACATTCATAAGCTTATTAAAGATATTATATTAATATTTAATATATTTTAATATTTACATTCATAAGCTTATTTTGACTGGTGATGCTAAACCAAATAATTTCAATACACATTAACTCTTGCTACCCCAGTCCTTTGCTTTCAAGACTTTGAGTAGATGGTGAGGGAATTTCTGAGAAATATCTCAGAAATATCTCAGAAATCGAGTTATTACTTCCAGACCTCCTGAGAGGCAGGGATGTAAAAAATGACTTTCTGAGCTGTCCTTTCCTCCAGCCATGTCATTTTGTTAGGGAACGTGTTACCTGTCTCAGAGATTGTTTCCCCCCTGCTCCTTGTGTTAACTTTGTCACCCATTTATTTGTGTAACAGTGATTTTCTTTCCTTAGGGGCCACACTGTGAAGGCAGTGTGTGAGTCATTTCACCTGGCCAAAGATTCCGGTTTCAAAGTGGTGGCCCATATGATGCCTGACCTGCCAAATGTGGGACTAGAAAGAGACATTGAACAGTTCATAGTAAGTGTGGCTTCAGCAGGCACATTCAGAATGCCTCTGTGTGTTTCACATCCCCTGTGTGCTCTTGTTGCTTGTTTAGTGAAGATGTTTTCCATTGTTAAAGAAATACATTCTTATTATAGAATATTAGAAACACAGTAGGGTAAGAGACATCACCCACAGCCCCATCAGACAACACTCTTAACATTTTAATGGATTCTTTCCAAGATTTTTTATACTTAGGCTCTTTGTGGGGTGAAGTTGTTATGCAAATATAACAGACATACAAATATATATGACATCGGAAATTATTTTAATAGCTTTTTCACTTAACATTATAACAAACATTTATCCATGTTGTAGCCTGGTCTCTGTGAACATGTTAACATAACGTCTTTTTTTTTTTTTTTTGAGACATTTTCACTTGTTACCCACGGTGGAGTGCAATGGCGCGATCTCAGCTCACCGCAACCTCTGCCTCCTAGGTTCAGGCAATTCTCCTGCCTCAGTCTCCCAAGTAGCTGAGACTACAGGCACACGCCACCGTGCCCAGCTAATTTTTTATATTTTTAGTAGATACGGGGTTTCACCATGTTGACCAGGATGGTCTCGATCTCTTGACCTCGTGATCCACCCGCCTCGGCCTCCCAAAGTGCTGGGATTACAGGCTTGAGCCACCATGCCCGGCCCATAACGTCTTTTTAATTCAATATGTCATACCGTGCTTAACCCCTTGCAAGATTTTCAAAATTTAAGATATTACTGTTTTTTTTTTAATATTATTTAAAAAACGCTGCAGGCAAATCACTTTATGTGCATAACTTTTTGTAGTCTTTGGGTTTATCTGTTCACAATAAATTCCATGGAGTAGGATTATCAGGTAAAGGTAGAAACATTTTAAGATTCTCACTGTATTACTAAGTTGCTTTGCAGAGAGTTATACCAATGTATACTCATTTCAGCAGAGTTTTTCTCCCCAAATAATTCTCTTCTGTTTTTTTCTATGTATACTTATTCATGCATATGCACATATGTACATGTAATATTTTACTCTTTGCTAGTTTGATCGATAAAAGTGCCATTTTAACTTGCATTTTGAAATTGAAATCGTAGATTTTTCAAATTTGTATTACCTAGTTACATTTCGTTCATCATTTTGGAATTGTGTGTCCTCTGACTCATTACTCTATTGTGATATGAATATTTTTAATATTAGTTTCTATGAACTTTTTAAGTAAGGAAATTATAGACTCATTTTTAAAAAAATATTTGTTTTAAATATTTTCCTTAATCTATGTTGAACTTTAACTTGTGCTTTCATTAAAATGATCTTTTTTTTTTTTTTTTTCTTCAAATGCTTCTAAGCTTAGAACTGCCTTTCGGCTCTTTGAATTTTAACTGTGGGTTGTTTTATTGTTGTTAACTCTCACAGTTTCTTAATCCATGTGTACTTTGTTGTGGGAAATAAGATCGGTCAGACCTTTTGTTTTTCTTCATTCTCAGATTGGGCAAGTGTGTTCTAGGGAGATCCTTTTAGTGAACATGATGGCAATATTTGTCAAGTTATTTCATCTATAAAAGTACTTTTGTTCTGCTTAGAAAAACACAGTTTATCATGTCTTGTGAAGCTAATAATTCTTTCCTCTCTATTATTTAAGCTTGTGAACTGCACCTGAGGACCTGTTTATAAGATAACATTAGTTCACAGATATCCCTGTTCGTAATTCCCCCACACTGGCTGTGTAATAGATTGCGAGTCTAGTATCCTTCCCTCAGTAACTAATAGCCAGGTGCTCAGACACCATGCCAAAAAGGCACCTGAAACACACATTTCTTTAGCACAGCTCCTAGGGAGACCAGTGGATCGCCAGAACTCATAGTTTAAGTGCTTTGAAAAACGTAGTAGCATGTTTCATAGCAAATAGCTATGTAGTAAGTCATAGCAAATAGCTGAGTCTCACTATGTATTTTCCTCGGTGTACTCAACATAAGGAATAATAGTTCAGTAATAATATTGCAAAGACAACCCTTCTTGTAAACAGATTTATTTGTTTGTTTGTAATCTTTTCAGGGAAACCCACAGGGAATATGAGTGGATCATATTTCTTTTCTAACTGCATCCTAGTAAATGAGTAACAGAAGGGAGCTAAAATGAAAAATCGCAGTTCTCTTTAGAGAAGACTTCTCTACGAATTAAATTGTTTTAAAATAAATAATTTTTAGAACTTGATGAGAAAAGGCAAACAGCTTAGTAGGAAAATGGGCAAAAAGCCTGAACAGACATTTCACAAAAGAGAATATTCAGATAACCAATAAATCTATCAAAAAGTTCTCAAAGTAATTAATCTTCAACGAAGTGAAATTTACCACTACAGTTGGTTTCTTAGTTTTTTAAAGCACCTTGATCTTGTATTGTGGATGTAATTTATCTTATCTCTCTGAAGAAAAGTATTATGGGTATTTTTTATACATTTCATTTTTCTTTATGCAATGCCTGTTTCCTCCAAGTGCCTTCTTTGTTTTGGTTGTCCCCTTCATGCTCCAGGCTTTCCCCAAGTTTATGATGATCTTCAGCCAAATGATCAAAAGCAATTTGTTATGCTTTGGAGAGTGAAAAACTAGATGACAAGGCCTGTGTGCCTACCTTGCAAGCATGCCTCACTGAAGGTTGTTCTTTTAGCAATAAGCATTCCTTTCTGTAGGGGATTCCTAAATGTCAGTATCATGAACTTTTATGTAGGCCCATTTGATTCATCCAGACATGAACTCTCCAACTTCCTGCTCTGGGCTGAGTGGCCCAAGTATATCTCAGGAAGTTGGTTGCTGACATCCAGGGAGTGGGGCAGAGAGTCCACCAGTCAGTGTGCTGGCTTTTCCCGGTTTTCAGCCTTGGTCTTCACCGAGACCTTCCTTTGTACCTGGAATCTCAGAGCCCAGAGGCTTTCCAGTTTCTCCAGGGACTAAACCTTCTCATCTGCCTGTTCAGAAAAGGCTGAGCGTTAATGGATAAATCCCTCTGTGTACACACTTGATCCAGTGCCCCTGTTTTTTTTTCCATGTCTCTCCTCCATCCTGCACAGTTCTTGGTACCTCTCATCTGTGAGCCTCTCTGGGACTCGCAGTATGATTCAGCAGGCCTTTGGTTACTGTCTCCTTTTGCTGTTTTCTTTACTTGCAAAGTCATTCACAAGCCTTCCTACTTTCTGTCTTTGAAGAATTTGTTGCCATCATGGGTCTCTTGCCTCCTTTCTTGTCCTCTGTGTTCTTCGGGATTTATATTTTCAAAAAAATTCTTTCTTGTTACTTTGGTGTGGTTTTGGAGGGAAAGAAAAGAAACACGTTTTAATTCGCTAGTGTAACTGAAAATCAAGAACCAATTCATTTTCATTCTTTCCAAAGGAATGTATCAGCCCATTTGTCTCCTAAACTTACTATACAAGCACCAGAAGTACTCTCCTGAAATCCCATGTTCAAATGTGGATTCAGACTGGGTGGACAATAGCTTCAATATATGCTTTTTGTAGAATGACGGCAGAATATTTTATTTTTTATTTTTTACAGAGTCTCACTCTGTTGCCCAGGCTGGAGTGCAGTGGCACAGTGTCAGCTCACTGCAACCTCTGCCTCCCAGCCTCAAGCAATTCTCCTGCCTCAGCCTCTTGAGTAGTTGGGATTACAGGCACTGCCACCATGCCCAGCTAATTTTTGTATTTTTATTAGAGATGGGGTTTCACCTTGTTGGCCAGGCTGGTCTCGAACTGCTAACCTCAGGTGATCTGCCCACCTGGGCCTCCCAAAGTGCTGGATTACAGGTGTGAGCCACTGCGTCTGATTTGCTGCAGAATATTTATTAAAGATGTAATGATTCTTTAAAATATAAATGTTGTAGGAAAATCACACAATTATAGAAGAAGAAATCTGAGACTAAATAGTATATGAAGAATTAAAGCATTTAAGAACGTCACAGACGTCAATGAGAGATGGAAAAGTCTATCGTTACATTTCTTTGCAAAGTGAGTTAAACAATGAAGAGCTTTGTAAGAATAATGTGGCAAAGATAAAAAATATTTTTACAGTTTACAAGATATAGCCCGGCCAGCTGAGTAGATACTCCCGCCAAGGTAGGAGTGAGAGGGGACTGTGTGAGTCCACTTTCATTTCTCCAAAATATATTATGCAAAACAAGATTAGAGCAAATTATCAGTGCAAAGTCATGGAAAGGAGGAGGATGCCTGGTGTCTCATAGCTACATTCCAAGATAAAGAAAGCAGCCAGCTGTGGTGACATAGTATAAGAAATGACCGTACCAAAAGGCGACGAGTTAGATGTATTGCTCAGTGTCCAGATAACAAATGGACAACATGTAGCCAAGATAGGAATGGTGCCAGCTGGCCTTTGGACAAAATAGTCATATCCAGGGATCAGCAAACTATGCCTCTAAAGGGCCCTATATTAAATATTTAAATTTTATAAGCCAGATGATCTGTCACACTTTCGAAATATTTCAACAGTTAAACATATTCCGTTATTAAAGGAAGCTATACTCTAGAGGTGAAAGCAGACATTGAATAGATTGTCATATGATGTTGAGAAAGAGGTAACACAGGGGTCAATAGAATTTTTTTTTAAGTGGGATAGCTAGTATTTGAAGGTCAGAAGGGCCCTTCTGAAGAAGTGGCGTTCAAACTGAGACTTGCAGATTAGCTACATGGAGAAAAACTGATGAGCTTTCCAAGCAAAGGAAACTGCCTTTGTAGGGGTGGAAAGGCCAGATGGTGAGGGGTGGCATGAGATGAGATTGGGGAGGGGACAGGCTGGAATGGTGAGGGCCTGGTGCAGTCCAATACACACCTACTTGACTCCAGTGAGGCTACAGAAACAAGGAGTTTCTGTTCTGTCTGTATGCCCTACCTGGTCAGATGGTCAGAAGCAAAGGCTGCCCCAGGGCCACCAGGAGTGCCAGAGAAGCTGCCCAAGGGTTGAGATTTCACCCTGGGTGATCTCTGCATAACTAATGGAAAAGTCATTTTCTGTTCTCTATTCACAGGAGTTTTTTGAGAATCCTGCTTTCCGTCCCGATGGTCTGAAACTCTATCCTACCCTGGTGATTCGTGGGACTGGGCTTTATGAGCTTTGGAAATCGGGAAGATATAAGAGTTATTCTCCTAGTGACCTGGTCGAATTGGTGGCTCGGATCCTAGCCCTCGTGCCTCCATGGACTCGGGTTTACCGAGTGCAGAGGTAGTGTGTTATCTTTTATTCCTAAAATAATCAGTAACTAGTCTGTTTACCATTTCTCATGGAAATACTCTGATTTCATATGGAGGGTTTTGAATTTTTTAATGGAAATAAGATACCTGGAATGCTGTCTGTAAATAGAGAGGGATGGAAATCACAGCATGTCTAAGCCACTTTACCAATATCATATTTATTCATCTACCCGTTCATTCATAAGCCTGGAGACAGTCACAGTGGTAAAGAGGTATGATGCTTGCTTCTGAGGAGCTTATGGTCTAGATCAGCATTTCCTCTTCCAGATCTGCTTCCGTCTAGATGCAGTATGGATGTGAGCATAAGAAGTGTGGCCATGTGTGCCATCTGTTCCAGAGCATCTGAAAGAAAAAGTAGGAACAGTCATTCTTTACAGATATTAATGTGAATTTGGAGAAAGGGCAACATATTTCTAATGACATGAAGAAAATAGAATAATCTGAACTGTTTTCTTCCTAGGAAAGAGAAAGTAGATCTCATTTGCAGTCAGGAACCTTATTTACCTATTTATACATGGATACATACATACTACAGACAGACAGACAGACATATATAATAGAAACATAACGTAACATTGAAGAAAACTTTTTGAAGCGATAAAGTTACCTGTAGTATGCAATCCTAACAAAGCCAATCCTGTATTTGCTGATAACTAAGGCACAGTCCCACCACCTTGCCAAAAACTTCTCAGGTTCCAGTATTACAAATGCAAGGCCAGAAGGAGGCTGCAAATGCGTTACAGTCAGCTGCTAGAGCAGGCCTCCACTGGGCACAGAAACTGTGTGACTGATCACGTAAAGCAGTGAACACTGCAAACGGGCAGTATTAACTAGTTAAGGAAAATTATCAAGGATACAAAGTAATGGCCTTGCTTGAAGGTCAAAGGGCATTTACAGGATACGTCTGCTGCACACTAATTTCTCACAGTTTTTAAATCACTGGCCAAACTCCAGGATCCAAATTGCCTGATGCTCTCTATTTTTATAAATACACTTAAGAATACTAAGGAGATTTTAATAGAAAAATCAACTGTGGAGACTGCTTGCATGGCCCTTCCCCTTGTTGTTCAACCCTTCTGAAGCAATTCAGTCCAAAAGACATTAGGTGGTGCTGAGCAGCATAAGTGTCCACGTACAGGAAGCAGGGAACCACAGTGTCCAGAGCAGGGTGGGAACGTGTCACCTGCAGGAGGCAGAGGCATGGTGCAGGCTGTTGAAGTCTGAATGTAGCAAAAAGGGCATTCATTCCCACTGAGGGCAGATCTGGTACAGAATGTCAGAGCTGTACATCCTCTAGGGGTATGCCTCAGATATATGCAGAAGAGGAGACAGTAAGAAAAACTCCATTACTTACATGGAAATAATCTAATCAGCAGATATATTAAGGATAATGGGTGCTAAGTTTTTTGTTATCTTAGAAGTCAGTTACAAATGTTGAAAAAGAAGAAAATTAGTGTGAGTGCTATGGTGTTTTGGAATAGGAGATATTGGTGTGAACTCATAGTTTCCAACATATAGGTAGATGTAGAAATAAGTGTAAATGTAGTGAATAACAACACAGTTGGCCCTCTCTGTCCTCAGATTCTGTATTTTTGAAATTCAACCCACCACAGATGGAAAATATTCAGAAAAAGACAGTGGGTGGTTGTTGCATCTGTGCTGAACATGTGCAGATTTTTCTTCTTGCCATTACTCCCTAAACAATACAGTATAACAACTAGGTATAGTATTTACAGTGTATTTGATATCAATAAGTAATCTAGAGGCCAGACATGGTGGCTCACGCCTGTAATCCTAGCACTTTGGGAGACCGAGGTAGGTGGATCATCTGAGGTCAGGAGTTCGAGACTGGCCCAGCCAACATGTTGAAACCCTGTCTCTACTAAAAATAGAAAAATTAGCTGGTTGTGGTGGCTGGCGCCTGTAATTCCAGCTACTCAGGAGGCTGAGGCTGGAGGATCACTTGAACCTGGGAGGCAGAGGTTGCAGTGAGCTGAGATCATACCATTGCACTCCAGCCTGGACAATAAGAGCAAAACTCCATCTCAGAAAAAAAAAAAAGTGATCTAGAGGTGATTTAAAGTATACAAGAGGATGTGCATAGGTTATATGCAAATACTGTATCATGTTATAGAAGGGACTTGAGCATCCATAGATTTTGGTATCCATGGGAGTCCTGAAACCAATCCCCTTTGGATACCAAGGGACAACTATAAATATAATGTGTGTGTGTGTGTGTGTGTGTGTTATAGCAATGAGTACACCTAGTTTCCAGTGAGCACACCTGGTTTCCAGATCTTGGTCTCTAAGTACTCTCCATCACTAAAAGGAACCTCTTGTGCCAGAAAGTAAGAAAGTGTTCAAAGAAGAAAGGGGAAGCTGCCTTAAAGGGCTCCCATTGGCCAAATCTGGGACAATTTGAGCATCAAAATAAATGTTGATATTAACAGAGTATAACCAGCTGAATAAAATAGGAATCCACAAGTTTATACCAATATACATAATTAAATTAATTGTAAGTGTGATTCAGAACTATCATATTTGCAGTCAGTCTTCATCATTCTCAGATTACTTATTTGCAAATTTTCCTACTCACTAAAATTCGTGACTCAAATCCAATACTGGTATTTCCACAGTCATTCTTGGACATGTGGAAAGCAGTGAAAAATTTGAGTTGCCCAGCGTGTCACCAGCTGAGGTCAAACAGGTGGTGCTCTGCCTTCTCGTTTCAGCACTGGGAGCCAGTGTCCTTTTTGCAGTCTGTTTTGTGCCACGTTTTTCAAAGTTTTGTGCAGTTCGTTCAGGTTTTGCAGCTTAGTGTGGCCACCAAGCATAGTGCTGAAGGGCTGGCTGTTGCTTCTAATGCAGGAAGGCTGTGACGTGCCCCTGGAGAAAACACGTGTTCTGTAAGCTTTGTTCAGGCATGAGTGCTGAGCTGTTGACCATGAGTTCTGTGTTCATGAGTCAACAATATATATAAAATAAGATGTGTTTAAACAGAAACACAAATAAAACAAGGTTATGTATTAATAGATTGACAAAAATATTGTGACCAGAGCTTCATAGGAACCTAATCTTGTGTTTCCCCTGGGAGCAACTGTTCAATATTCAATATAAGTGTGTTGGTGGCACTTTGTAGAATGTCACTACCTACTGACTACTTACTGCCTACTAACAGAACTAGAACCAACTTCCGACTGTACATAGTTTCAGAGTATCTCCGCTACCATACTTAACAATCACAGAGTGGAAGAGAATAACTTAACAGTGGGGAAAACCTGGCAGCTGATCAAAGTGAACGGTATCAGTAATAGGACAAATCACAGTTCTAGGCTGCCTGTTAGAGGATATGAGAACATAGCATCACTTCTGTGTTACTGAGCTAGAACTTCACAATCTGAATCCAATAGTCAGGAAACGTTATACAAAACAAAATGGAGGAATATTCTAAAGCATAAATGTCCCGTAATCTTCAAAGTATCAGGATCAAGAAAGGAGTTCCAACTTGCGAGAGACTACAGAGACATGACAAATACAACACAAGGTTCTGAACTGGGTCATTTTGCTGGGAAGGACTTTACTGGGATACTAGGGAAATTCAGGTGGGGTCTAGCAGTTGACACTAGTGAAGTATCCATGTTAACATCCTCATTTTGATTGTTCTATTGTGGTTATGCAAGAGAATAGGGTTGTAGGAAGCATTGAAAGTATTCTCAGGGCGTTGGGACATCTTATTTGCAAATGACTTTCAAATAGCTGAGGAAAATAATTATTTGTGCTGCACTTGGGACTTTTTGTGTGACTTTGTAATTGTTTCAAAATCTAATACATTGGATGACAAAGATGCAGTAAATAGCATTCACAGAGACAAAAGAAAAAGATCATTTGCATGTATTATAACTGACTCAAGAAACCGGAGAGCAGTGAAGATGCGGATTCTCAGCCGCAGAGCATGGCAACAGACAGCACAGAATAGATAGCAATTTCACATCCAGAAATACTGAAAGTAACAAGGCATGGATCACACAGGCAATCAGTTGAAGAATTTGCATTTTCTCCCTGCATTTTCAGCTTGAAATTTCTTTCTGCTGTAACCAGTGAGTCAAAAGTAGCAAAGACATTGCTATAACATTAAAAGCTTAATTTTACAGACTTTATGAAATACCACTATGGGACATTATGCTGGCCTACCACCAGCTGAGAAGATGAGGACTTGAAGAAAACAAGGGCAGCAGATAGTCTCTATAGGAGAAATGTAAAGGAGTGGTGACAGGAAGAGTGGAGAACACGTATATGATACAACCAAAAGACCATATGATAAGAAAGGCATGACATTACGAATAAGCAACTTGAGGCCTGTTAAGGAAACCGAGCTGTTCTCGGTTCTTCTGACATGACCCCTTTACAGTTCTCCTAGGGAGAACTGGCCCATAGGAGAGTCCACAAGCTCTAATTCCAAGAGGCCCAACTGTCGCCTATATTCCTCTATCCGTACATCACTTACGGAGCTTGTGAGTGAGGAGTGGTACATGTACGCTCGAGGATTCACGTGTGTGTGGGTGGATTAAAACAATGGACTACTGTGAGATGAGCAGTGGTGAAATCTCTTTCAAAATGTGGCATTAGTAATGTCCTTGGTGAGTCTGAGGACAGTTTATTGTTTGAAGATAGTGATGACTCAGTTCCTAACACAGTAAATGCCATTGGTGAAGAGAGTCATCCAGACTCTAGCTGTGATGTCAGGTTTTGATTCTTTAGGACTGATAACTTAACTTTGAATATGATCATTTGCTAGATTTTTTAGTACAAAGACTAATATCTTTATAGTATTTTCCATTTTGTTTTATTCTATTTTCGATGTATTTTGGTGTTCTTGATATGTAACTGATACTTGTCGTTATACACGTTTCTATTAGAATTCATTTTTTTAATGTAGATTACTGTGGACTGAGGTTCTTTAAAGCATTTACT